ACGGCGAGGCATCCAGGGAGACGGGGGAGGGAATGGCTTTCCCAAGCAGGAGGCTCGTAATCCCTCACAGGTTCGGTGGGAACGCGGCCGGCCGAGAGCATTCAGGGAGCTCTTCTTGAACTTTTGCGATCAGGTGGCAATGAAAGGTGGACCGCGTCGACTGATACCCAACAGAACTGCACATCAGGAAAGACCAGGCGCAATCAACAGCACACAAGCATTGCACAAAACGGCACGCACGAGAAGAATATTTATAAAAAAAATAGCGATGGAACACGGGCTTCAATTTTTCTTACCACTGCATTACACTGTATTTCATGTTTCCTCATTTGTACATACTGTACTCCATGATTTCCTCTTCAGCTGAAAATCCATTTCAACAGCCATACACGCGTGTGGAGGTGATTCATAAATAAAGCCTGACGATACAATATTTTTTTGTTCCAGAGAAGGTTCGGATAAAATTTGCAAACAAACATGGGCGTATTTGGCCAATCACTGGTTGCGGATTTTAAATACTGCATTTAAAATGTCCATATACCTTGTACATTCAAACATCTTGTACATCGACCAGGCCCTAGTTTCATCTTCGCGAAATTTTTCTTGTCAATACATTAGAAAATACAGTACAGTACAGTACTTTCACAACATAGCCCAAGCTAATGCAAGACTCAAAGGATAGATTTTGGCCTGACGGACTTGGATGCAATTTTTTGCTGGATAGTAGGCCCTGCTTCAAATAATAGACTATGAGAAGATTTGCTATGGAGAAATGTGGCTTCCAAGGAAATTTAAATTGGATACATACTGTATCCGATATTTAAAACACTTGGAAATCGTGTTCTTATTTTATGAGTGATTTTGTCGACGAGCTAAAACGATTTTCGAAGAAACCCTAATCACTTGGCAATTAATGTAAAAATGTATGAAAGGAAAATTTCAAGGAATCTTAAGGAAGTCCGCATCCCGTTTAGTTCAAAATTACACAATAACAGGATTTCTCGTGTCTAGAAAAAATAAACCATTCTTTACTTTGCTCATAGCCCAAGTTTATCATGTACGTTCAATTGCAAATAATTCACCATTCCAGACACACCTGTATTGTTGAACGTTTGCAACTTCCGATAAGGTGGTGCTGTAATACGGGTTGATTTCATCTACAGTTTCTACAACCTTACCAGGGTAAGAAAGAATAAATTGCTATAAAATATACTGTACTGTACAGTACTGTAATTTTAATTTTACTTCGGAGTCGCGGATGCATGCACACGACATCGATTGCCGCTCTTCCGAGACTTGCGTGGTATGGGGAATACTCCTGCTGAGCATAGGTTCTGCATCTGTGCTTTTTGGAACCCCGAAGGACCCGAGCAACCTTCCCAGGGTCTTATACAGCTGCTGTAGAAAACTGACAGACAGGACTGTGGAAAGAAATATAAAATCTAGGAATTCGGTTAACCTAGCATAGAGGACTGTCACGTCGATAACTTGTGAAGGTGCCTATTATGGAAAAGTGCTTTCAATTTTTGAGCCCGAAACAGGCGTTTGCTGGACTGTGGAAGGTCTCGGAAAACTTATCTTCATAACGATTCCATCTACAGTATCCTTCGCAGAGAAGATCTCCTTGATTGAAATTTTTTTTTGCTGTCCACGTATGTTTAAAAAAAAAATCTAACGACACAACGAAGTACAGTTTGCCGAACCTGGGAAACATTGTTTCAATGCACATTTAGTGTTCATGTATCAATATCATCTTATCTGAGCTGCAATATTTTCAATAGTTGGTTCAGGTTAAGAAGGACTCACTCGCGTAAATTAAATACGACTCCCAGCAAAAGTTCCTCGCCAGTTTTTTTTTAATCTGGATGCGTGCTTCTTAATTTGAAAAATATGCGCAGAATCTTCGATTTCGTGCAAACATTAATGGATTGCCGTAAACATAGAATTACTTCCCCGTCTCAGACACCCAACATTTTGAGGAATTTTATGTACTGTACATGACCTCCATAAATGACTTCACAGTACAGTATTTTTAGCATCTCAAAGATGTGACCATGTTTCAGCTTTTCTTCATAGTCCCAGAACTAGAAAGTAGCGTAAAAACAATTATAAAAGACAGATTGACTCTGCTGCAACAATGCACAGGAAAAAAATCGAATTTTTACTCAGTAAAGAAAATATTGCCGTAGAAAATCTGTTAAAACAACAGCAGAGGGTCTGTTGGGGCCAGAAGCAAATTAATTGTTCGGCGAATACGTTTTGCCGTGCAGCGAATAATTACATAGGGATACCAGATATCAAGGATTCAGTGGATTTCAACGACTCATACTGAGGATATTCAGCATTCCTCTTTCTTGAGAACAGAAAAAGGAGGTTGAATGAAATTTCAAAAAATTAAGAAAGGCATCAGATTGGATTCCGTGAATTCATTCATTCATTCGTCCGCAGCTGAAACATCCCGAGAGCACGAGTTTGTCCGCATAGCTACCGTTTCTTTCACTGCCCTGCTCATAAGAGATTACTACAATGGACAGAGACGACTTCCGTAAAGGAGAGTCACGTGGGGATTAAAGCAAATTCCGCAACACAGTACTTCGTTCATCTGCAAAAACTGATTTTCGGAGAGAAAGTTTCGTCTAGTGTAACGACACTTTTTGGACAGAGACGACTTCCGTAAAGGAGAGTCACGTGGGGATTAAAGCAAATTCCGCAACACAGTACTTCGTTCATCTGCAAAAACTGATTTTCGGAGAGAAAGTTTCGTCTAGTGTAACGACACTTTCTCTCGCTATGGGATTCTCAATCAAGCTCCGACGGTCCCAACTCTCACTTGGGAAACGCGTGGGAAAGAGACTTACAACATAGTCTATCTCTAAATTGGGGTTTTGAAGTTTAACTGGAAAAACCCTGTTCAACGAATAATTGAGCAGAAGTTTAAATATAAAACCCCTCATACTGTATCTCAAAAATTGCGTTCCAGCACGATAATTGATTCATGAAAGACTCAAGAGTTCTAAAGTTATGGCGCAGGTTGGATATCCTCGCTTTTTACGACAGGAAGCCCTGTTTCAGGTTCCTAATATTTCAATTTTATAATAAGCACGTCATAGAATGTATCCAATTCCGGTCAATTCATATTTTTTCATTATATGCGTTTTTAGTCATAGAAGAAGGCATCAAATAGCCTACATTTTCGTTCAATTACCGAAATGAACTTTTGTAGTACAGTACGTCGATCGATTCCCTAACGAGTCCCGTTCTTTTCGGCGACGGAAGACCAAGGCCTCGTTGACAAACAAACAATGGCCCTTAATGGGATGAGAAGGAATCAAAATCATCGAAAAGAATATAATCATTCTGTATCCTCATTCATTTACTGCTTGCAAATGACCGGATACTGCAATACAGTATTTGCTTTTTTTATCCCGCGTTCTAGTGCACAACTTCACAAACCTTTCATGTGTGTACACTGCTTTCAAAGGACATATGTATACAATCTGCTAAGGCATCTATGCTTAGTGTAGATAGCAAAGCCTGGTTTTTGTGCAATTTTTCAGATGCATGCGAAAAGTTGGGTACCACCTGACATGTGTCAGTAAATCAATAAAACCGGCACGCGTGCAACAAGTTTTGAAAAAGGACAAAAATTGTAACTTCATTGAAGTAATACAGCTGGATTCTCTATAGTCCATATACAGCAATCTTGTCAACAACGATTTTTTTCTTTGTCCCTTGAATTTCGTCGAAGAGAGTCCATCGGTATAACAAATAATTACATTAAAATACAATTTGAACGAATTAGCAACAAAAAAACTCATCGATTCGGCTGCGGAAGAATAAATTTTATCAAACAAATAATCTTCTTCTTTATAATCTTCATCATACAATGAAAACCCACCTGAACTGCCCATAATATTTTAGAGGTAAGCGAAAATGTTAAATTATTAACAGAAATAATTGATAACAAAAATATATTCAGCAGAATATCAATAAAGAGAATAATCGATCATGACTGGAATACTGTTGCAATTTTTTGGATACAGCATTGCATTTCCACATTTTTTTTTTGCAATATAGTATACCACAAATTCATTAATTTTTTATACGATTCTGTTAATTCAAGTTCAGTCAAAACGCGAGCTAAGTGTCATGAAACATCTATGTTAAATGAAAAACGTCTCGATTAAATTAAGGTTCCGGGTTATCAGTTCTGCGGATACTCCAGGCAAAAAAGTTTGACTTGAATCCAGTTAAAGGTTCTCTGCATTCATTTTTTTCTCAGCCATACCAGTTGAAAATTAGAGCAAAAATCTCCCATGTAACTTGGAAGAAAATACTGCAAAATTTTCTTTTCAATAAACCGACTCACTAATGCCGTATCTGCTTTTCGTGGAAACGTATTAAAATTGATAAAATCGATTAAAGAAAAAAAGAGTACCAGGGATTCATCCCATAAATCCAGGTAGACTTGAAGGAAATTAAAAAAACAGAAGATGCCAGAGTTCAGTCTCCATTTGTCCTGTAATCTCCAATTATTTTCCACATCACTTGTCCGTCGAGCGGCCTTCCGCTGATCGAACGCCGAGCGTTTAATCGAAGCACTAGGCTTATTTATTTCATTTTTTTCTAACGAACGCTACCGGAAATTACAACACTCCTGGAATGCGCTCGGATTAAAATTCAGTCGGCGGCTCGACCCAAGAAAGTGTGACCCCAAGCGAGAGTTTCCCGTCGGCACACGTCCGCACACTGCGTCGCGAGATTAGCAGCCAGTGAGATACGGAGACTGGCTGAAACAGGGGCAGACGTAAGATTTCATGAACCCTGTTCACTTAAGCAGTAGTGTGATACGCAGACAGGCCATGCGACGTTCACAGAGGGTCAACAGTGACTCCGTCGAATAGCAAAGGGCGTCAAGTACAGTACTGGCAGTCGCACTCTTGTTGTTGTCGGAAATCACGGTGAAGTTCTCAGACTGTACTTTGAGTCAACGCAGAAATCGAAATCAGGTTTGACTCGAGTCGATCTCGATGACTTTCCGAGGAATTTGGATAGGTACGGATATTTCTTCAACAACGCGAAAAAAGATATGGCCAAAAAGAGCTGCCTGTAAAGACCAGCATAATCCTTGGCTAACGTTTTTACACATCATTCAAAAATCCCGTGTTCGTAAACATGACAGAAACGTTCTACAATGAGAGAATTTAATCCTCTCCGAACACACTACATGATTAAATTGAGCGGAAAACAGGATGGTGAGCCATCAAATATTACAAAACATTTAAAACCTATTCTAAGATAGTTGAGAAGGAAGAAATTGTGGGCTTTTGACCGGAACAGCACATTCTCGGCTGTTTTTTTTTTCGGCAAAGGGTATGCAAAGAATGCTGACGGAAAATAACACTTCGTTGACATGAGGTAAGCGAAATACGAGTTGCTTTTCGTAGATGTTTTTCCTAAGAGCTTGACACTCCGTACAAGTGCAAAACAAACATTTATTGCATGGATAAAATAATATCTAGCACTCCACCTTTTCTTTAATCTGATACACTTCGCACTTCTCTCAATTCTGAGCAAAAAATAAGTATAACAATTTGCCCTTCTTAAACGAACTCGAGTGAAGATGAGATTTCCGCCAAAAATCCAATCCAGATTTGTTTGTGTTTTCCCAAACAACAAGACACGAGAATCACCTCAACACTCTTTTCAGACGCCAAGCAAACTATGGCCGATACTTCAGGAACAAGCCCTGATCATTTCCCTGAATTTTCATCCTGGAAATAAAATACACTTCCTCAACTACGAGAAGGATCAGCTGACAATTCTCATTCCTTTCTGACTTTCTAATACAGTACAGTATTAGTTTTTTACTCATCCGCCACAAACATTCAACGAGGAGATACTTGTACACAACTTCCAACAAATCTCAATCTAATTTCATGAATGATTCAGATTTATAACTAAAAAAAACCAAGATTTCCTTTTCTGGAAGGAGGAAGTGGCGGAGGGGGGGGGGCAACTTAGCATTAAGAAATAAAATGTGATCGATTGAACCGAACTAATCGCATCAGCGAATTCGCAATTTCCTCGAAAAGGTTTACAGTAATCAAACATTGCCAACAGTACCCGTCTTGAAACTGACCCGCTCGTTTCTACAGAAACGAACCTCGAACGATTCAACGGAGTTGCTTTCAAATGGTCATCGGCGCAACGATGTGGCTTCTGCCAAAAAAAAATTAATACAGTAATACGGTACTCAAATGCAGAGCCCCTGCGTGCTCCTCGGACACTCTTCCGGGACGGATATTACACGATCATCACACAGGGGGCAGTGGTTCTTCTTGTTCCACTGGTGAGCAAGCAAGCGAGCCAGCTAGGCAAGCAGCGCGCCGCGACTCAACAGTCCACAGCCTGGCACAAGGGGCAAACTGCACAGGCACAGACACACACACACACACACAGCCACGAACAGGAGGAGGAAAAACGGCAGGAGTTGCCAGACGACTCTTCTGCCTCGGGTCACGCGCCCGATGGGATTCGGGAATGCGACGACGAGCAGGCATTGAGACCCCCATGGGACCCTCAAGGGATTCCTTCTCACGCACCATCGCTGCTACCGCCATCAACCACCATCGCCCATAAAACACCGTCGGAAGGTCGGCGAGGTGGCGCTCGTGGCAACGGCACTGCCTCAACACGGTACTCACGCGACTAATGTACTAAAAGATCCCATGAATACGGTAGTAAGACGCTCCTCTTGTGTTTCAGTCACAGCTCAGTTACTCGAAATGTTAAGAAAGTTAGCTGAGAAGTCTGAAACAAACTGCCACCTGCTTTCCTGAATGTGTCTCAGAATATTCTATGACACTTTGTTGCACCTGGGTGGGGCTAACATATAGAACATTTTAGATCTCTAGTGCCTTCTCCGATAGACTAGTCTCATATTCATTTTCTATCAAGTGAAATTGACCACGCAAGAAATACCGGTACGTTCCTCGCTAGGCTGGAGAAAAACCTAAAAAAAAAAGATAAAATTTAGCATTATTCATTTACATTCTATAGAATTTTCGATTTGAATCGACACCTATCCGCATTCAGTTTATGGACATGCTTTAAATTCATTCGAAGAAGTAGAAAAATGTTGAATACTCACTGAGAGAACAATCAATCGATGTATGTTTATTTTTAACCGGGATTGAGCGCGTGGCATGAAATTGTAAAATATTTTACCAACAAACCATTTTACGTAAGCATACAAGTCCTCTTTGCTTCTGAGGCGCACCCAAATTTCTGCTGGGAAAATCGCCGACCGATGGTCGATATCAGAGAAGAACACAAACATGTCTTGATTTCTCTCCTTAGTCACTGAAAGAACAATTGGAACGAAAAACAAAATTACAAATCCTGACGGATACTCAAAGTGGATTTCCTATAACCGCCACACTAGAGCAAATATTTCACGCGATGTTTCCTGGACGTGAACATAATCACGAATCCCACAGAATTCTTCAAATGTGTTCAACTCAATTTCCGTTAAATGCAATTTTACAACTTTTAATACTGTACTCTACGCAGAATTAAAATGAAATAAATCTTACGAACCAGAAAACGATACACAAATTTCTTGCGTTCAAAAGGAAAGCTCTTGAAGAAATAAAAATCATCAACAGTTGCTCACTGTACAGTAATTTAAAAAAAAGCAATCTCACGAATGTCAAAGAAAACGGGTCGACTAGAGCGCAAAATATCAGCCGCAAAAAAATGTTCGTCATTGAGGACACTTCGCCTCGCCACCGATCCATCAGAACCCATTCGTACCCCCCGCGATTTCATATGGCGCAAACAAGAGGGTCCTGCAATCGTCCCGGGGCGAAATTAGGAATGGGTCTATCCCCGAAAAAAAAAAAAAACCCTTCACAGTGGCTGGCTGATCTAACACAGGGTGGGCGTTCGGTCGTTTCCCGAATGGTCAATAAGAATCAGGCGAGGCAGGTGGACAGAGAGACACAGGGAAAGCTGTTCGGGAAGGAGACGCGAGGAAAGTGCTGAATTCCTGAGGACCCCGCATATCAGAGTAAATGGCACAGCCTTCAGAGGCGGTTCACTTGACGGCCAGTCCTCGGGATATAAAAGAGACGGGAGCTTGGGGATCTTTATAAATGCGTTCTTATTGCATGTGACCGACCAAAAGCAAACCAGACGACCATGACATTTCTAGATCTTCTAGCATCCATAAGGATAACCACAGAAAATTATCAACAGTCGCATTCAGATGTTCATGAATACAAATATTAATTTCACGGTACAGTAAATTGTTGCAAAAACCCTTCAAATGACAGGAACAACGCATCGCAAAAATGGCAAATCTACGGGTTGGTCACGTATTATAACTCTTTGTTCACAAAATAAAATACATTTACAGTTCTGTAGTACCGAATAGGTGACCCCGCGAAAGTAACTTCCGAATGTTCGAGCACCTCAGAAATCTGCAACTGACATTATTCATTCAAACTATGCATGATTTTGTTCTTCGGGCATAACTGAAAAATGCCATAGAAAATAAGAAAGCGTTTTCCTCTGAGATTGGCAAATTTTATGGTCAATTTTATTTTTTATACGATAATAAAGTGTCCCTTCGATGACATACTCGAAAACCATTAGAAAAATGTGTACTACTGTATTTCGCAAAATAAAACTGGGGTTTTGTTTACTTTTGCTTTAAAACTTCCGGCTTGTTTCCAGTTGGGGAACAATCCACAAATATACAGTATCTCAAGTTTCAAGTACCGGTACGTCAGATTAATGTATAAATGTTGAAATGTCTAACAAAATGACTGTCATCGATTTTATGACGAGAGGGATCTTTTATTAGCTGGCATTTCATTGTGAGGCTCAAATTGGAAAATACTGT